TTGTGCCGAGCAGCAACCTAATCCACGGAAGGTTTAATGCTGAGCAGTAATTGTGCAAATGAAATCTGGTCTCATGTATTCATCCGCTTATAGAAAAGTGGTTAATGACATTTACTGTCCACACAGGAAAAGTTGTGCCGAGCAGCAACCTAATCCACAGAAGGGTTAATGCTGAGCAGCAATTATACAAATGAAACCTGGTAACTGACTTTGGGGTCAAAGGCCGGTTACAGCCTATCAGAACTAAAGGAGGGGTATTTAGGCCCAGTTCTCAGCCTGCTCAGTGCCCTGTCGTGGTTTCCCTTGTGGTTGTCTGAGAGCGCGTTCCTGTTTATAGTTTTCTACCTGTTTTTGACTTTGGCTTTGTTTATTGACTTCTCTATATTCTGGTATCCTGACTCCTGGCTTTCCTCATCGCTGTGTCCCTTTCTGTGTTCCCTGACCTCGGCTAGTATTTTTGACTATTCTTTGTACGTTAAATCCGGCCATTCTAAGGACCGGTAATACGTTACTTATTTGTTATCCGTGCTGTACAGTTCTACGTGCTGGATCAAACAGAAATCCTGACACAAGGTTGGTGGGAAGGTGAACGTAGACAAATTAAATGTCTATAGAAGGTCAGGAATGGGAGGGGTTTAAAATGGTCCCACCTAAGCAGTGAATCCCAGTTGCAACCTCTATTTTGGTGATCCAGTTGAAAAAACAATGACAAGGCTGCCCTCCCTTGCCCAGCACATAAAGCACTGCCCCCTACGTCTGCCAACAAGTTGGCATTAGTTGTTATGTATTCAGAATGCTCTGTGCATTATATTATATCAATAAATGTTGCACACACTTTCCTATATTGATTACTCATTTGGTTAGATTTGTAGTGTATTCAGACAAACTAGTAAATGTGTAGATTAGAACAGATTGCAGTGTGATTGCAGTATGAAATCATGGTGGGGTGTATACTGCCATTATTAGTGTAATAGTACATAACTGTACTAAAGAAATCACTAATAGGCCTCTTACCATTGGCAAAGTCTTGGAGCTGAGTAAGTCTCTACAGGGAGTGCAGAATTATTAGGCAAATGAGTATTTTGACCACATCATCCTCTTTATGCATGTTGTCTTACTCCAAGCTGTATAGGCTCGAAAGCCTACTACCAATTAAGCATATTAGGTGATGTGCATCTCAGTAATGAGAAGGGGTGTGGTCTAATGACATCAACACCCTATATCAGGTGTGTATAATTATTAGGCAACTTCCTTTCCTTTGGCAAAATGGGTCAAAAGAAGGACTTGACAGGCTCAGAAAAGTAAAAAAATAGTGAGATATCTTGCAGAGGGATGCAGCACTCTTAAAATTGCAAAGCTTCTGAAGCGTGATCATCGAACAATCAAGCGTTTCATTCATAATAGTCAACAGGGTCGCAAGAAGCGTGTGGAAAAACCAAGGCGCAAAATAACTGCCCATAAACTGAGAAAAGTCAAGCGTGCAGCTGCCACGATGCCACTTGCCACCAGTTTGGCCATATTTCAGAGCTGCAACATCACTGGAGTGCCCAAAAGCACAAGGTCTGCAATACTCAGAGACATGGCCAAGGTAAGAAAGGCTGAAAGACGACCACCACTGAACAAGACACACAAGCTGAAACGTCAAGACTGGGCCAAGAAATATCTCAAGACCGATTTTTCTAAGGTTTTATGGACTGATGAAATGAGAGTGAGTCTTGATGGGCCAGATGGATGGGCCCGTGGCTGGATTGGTAAAGGGCAGAGAGCTCCAGTCCAACTCAGACGCCAGCAAGGTGGAGGTGGAATACTGGTTTGGGCTGGTATCATCAAAGATGAGCTTGTGGGGCCTTTTCGGGTTGAGGATGGAGTCAAGCTCAACTCCCAGTCTTACTGCCAGTTCCTGGAAGACACCTTCTTCAAGCAGTGGTACAGGAAGAAGTCTGCATCCTTCAAGAAAAACATGATTTTCATGTAGGACAATGCTCCATCACACGCGTCCAAGTACTCCACAGCGTGGCTGGCAAGAAAGGGTATAAAAGAAGAAAATCTAATGACATGGCCTTGTTCACCTGATCTGAACCCCATTGAGAACCTGTGGTCCATCATCAAATGTGAGATTTACAAGGAGGGAAAACAGTACACCTCTCTGAACAGTGTCTGGGAGGCTGTGGTTGCTGCTGCACGCAATGTTGATGGTGAACAGATCAAAACACTGACAGAATCCATGGATGGCAGGTTTTTGAGTGTCCTTGCAAAGAAAGGTGGCTATATTGGTCACTGGTTTGTTTTTGTTTTGTTTTTGAATGTCAGAAATGTATATTTGTGAATGTTGAGATGTTATATTGGTTTCACTGGTAATAATAAATAATTGAAATGGGTATATATTTGTTTTTTGTTAAGTTGCCTAATAATTATGCACAGTAATAGTCACCTGCACACACAGATATCCCCCTAACATAGCTATAACTAAAACAAACTAAAAACTACTTCCAAAAATATTCAGCTTTGATATTAATGAGTTTTTTGGGTTCATTGAGAACATGGTTATTGTTCAATAATAAAATTAATCCTCAAAAATACAACTTGCCTAATAATTCTGCACTCCCTGTATAAATATGGATGCTATGAATCAGCTCTGGGTCAATCCATGTTTCTTCCAACCAATGTAAGTGTGACGTGTACATCGATAAAGGCAACATCTCTTATATGCTGCAGTCAGTGAAAGTACCCACCAATATGCATGTTTATTCTCCATGGCTATGCTTCATATTTCAGAAGTTATCGTGCCTGTAACAAGTAAGAAAACTGGCAATATTAAAACTGGCAGGTCACCTCTGTCAATAGTCAGACAGAATGAATATCTAATTAGCTCTAAAATCCCCCAACTTCAGTTACAAATTACTTCAATGTTGACTAAGATGACAAAATTGAGGATATTAAAAAAGTAAAGGGCATTATTTTTTTTTTTGGGGGGGGGGGCTTTATTTATTTCATTTCTCTATAATAACACGCAGCAGGCGATCGCTAATTTGTATCATGATCAACCTGACAGCCTGACAAAATTTCTGCTGTGCGTAAAATAATCATTAGTATGGGGTTTCAAATGGCAATATTAATCATACAATTGCATGGCCCTTTTTCCAAGGAAAAATGGAAATATGAACTATTAGCAAATAATGAAGTCCGTCTGTCCCACTCACCCCCTTCACCCTGCCACACTCACCATACCACATAAACCCCTCCAATCCTGTCTTCCAACTGTGCCACACTCGCCCCAAACCCCGTAACACTCACTCTTTCACATTTCACTCTTTCTCCCCCTGTAATCTTGTCACACTGCCTCCTCCAAACATGACACATTCACCCCAACCTGTGATACACCCCCAACTATGCCACACTCACCCTGTCATATTAACCTCCTACAATTCTGTCTCACTTACTTCCCCTTGCCCTGTCACACTCCCTCCTCCAACCATGTGCATAGGGATTTGGGATAGTGCGCAAGTAACTATTTTCTTAGTTTTTTATTCTATGCATTCCTAACACTATAGTGTTGGTTAGACTGGCTTATAGTGATGTGACAGTGATTTGTGAATATTACTTCCTTTATAACAGTGTTATCAATCAGGCAGGCTGCCTTTGTTAATTTTCTCCATATTCTTTGTAGAACCTACCTACAATGGCTGCTATCAGTTTATTCAGCAGTTCCAATCGTCCTTTATGGCGACTGGAATTGCTCGTTGGGTATAACCTACTTATGCCAGAAATCCGCTGCAGAACAGGTTATTTAATAGGATAAGATCAGAAAAAAACACCCTGTCATATTAACCTCCTCCAATTCTGTCTCACTTACTTCCCCTTGCCCTGTCACACTCCCTCCTCCAACCATGTGCATAGGGATTTGGGATAGTGCGCAAGTAACTATTTTCTTAGTTTTTTATTCTATGCATTCCTAACACTATAGTGTTGGTTAGACTGGCTTATAGTGATGTGACAGTGATTTGTGAATATTACTTCCTTTATAACAGTGTTATCAATCAGGCAGGCTGCCTTTGTTAATTTTCTCCATATTCTTTGTAGAACCTACCTACAATGGCTGCTATCAGTTTATTCAGCAGTTCCAATCGTCCTTTATGGCGACTGGAATTGCTCGTTGGGTATAACCTACTTATGCCAGAAACCGCTGCAGAACAGGTTATTTTAGGATAAGATCAGAAAAAAACACTACTGAATGGAGCATCTCATCTTGGACTATCTGCAGCTTCTGACAGCAGTGCATCAAGGGCCACTTTCACTTCTCATTTCATAACTTTATTTATTACAATATTTTATTGCATAATTATGTGTAATACATTAAGAAATAACGGTGATTCAGTCTGGACCAAACCCTGTTATATAAGGTTGAAGGATCACTATAGTGTCAGGAATACAAACATGTACTCCTGATTCTATGGTTTTAAAATTGCCATTTAGGCCACTGTCCCCCTCTCTTTACTTTAAAAAGATGTAAAACTCACTTTTTTTCCCAGCACTTTGCTGGTCTCGTCGCCACTGGCTTCACTCCTGCTCTCCCTCTTTCCAGTACGAAGTAATGGCGCATGTGGGCCAAAGCTCTGAGCTACGTCAATCATAATCTCATAGAGATTCAATAAATCAATGCATCTCTATGGGGAGCGCTCAGCGTCTCCATACAGAGCGTGGAGTAGAGATGCTGAATGTCCAGAACTGACCCAGAAAGCACCTCCAATGGTCTGAGTGAAAAGGCAGCGGTTACATTAAAAATCCTGCAGGAACATGCTGTACTCACTGGAACCACTACATTAACCCCTACTTTTACCCTTTGTGTCACTATACCCCACTCCCTCTAGCAGGTAAGCTCATTGAGCAGGGCCCTCAACCCCTCTGTTCCTGCGCGTCCAACTCGTCTGGTTATAAATACGTGTCTGTTAGTCCACCTATTGTACAGCTCTACAGAACTTGCTGGTGCTATATTAATAATAAAAAAAAATAATTAAGCTGCAGTAGCTCTGGTGACTGTAGTGTCCCTTTAAGTTACATTTCTCAAATGTTTGTCTTTGACTAACATGCCTTTTCACTAACAAGATCAATACTACTAGCTGTACAGTCTGCAACATGTGTAACAAGCTGTGTGCAGCAGCTGAGAATCAGTGCAGTCTATACAGATACATTGTATACAGGGCTCAGGAACCGTTAGCACTCAGCCAGATGTGAAAGGGCCCAGAGGAAATGGCATGTCTGCTGACGTCAGAGCAGGGGGGAGAGGCTTTGGGTTACACCCAACTTTCCAACTAAGGTCTAGGGGAGAGGATTCCTTACACACAGCATTTACAGGGGACATAAAAAACCAACCCAAAAACTTAAAGACCCCTTCTTATCCACCTGGAACCTTCACAGAGAAAGTCCTCTTTGCTGAATTCTCCTGGACATTCTATTGAGATCTTTATTGTTTTAACATGCATCCTGCACACAGCACCAGGAGTTCTGTAAGTGCCAATAAGCAATTCCTGAAGAGTTTGCCAGGGGTGCTGAGGGTACTGCAGCTGGTGAGTGGAGCTGGCATTTGGATTACCATAGCTTCTAACCACTATGGGGGCTCCATCCACTTTGCTCTGTTTGTGGCTGTTTTTTTCTGGCTGTTAACCCTTGTGATTTACTTCCTAACTCTGCTGGACAAGCAGGAACTGGTGCCAATCCTGGGGGCAGAACGCTGGGTTTTTACCAATGCCATCTACGATGCCCTTGCCACTGTCCTGCACATTGCTGCCGCTGGCATAATGATCAGTAAGACAAAAGACAATGAATACTGCAATCTGGAGACTTATAAGCTGCCCTGCCTCTTTAAAGCTTACTTAACAGCTTCTATATTTGCCTGCATTTGCTGCATCCTCTATGCCATCACATGCATCTACTTCTTTTGCAAGAAATGCAGAGGAAATCAAAGTGTTGTTTACAGTTAACGAAGACATATTTCCTCTTCACAGTTGGGAACAAATAACTATTTCTTCCTGGACTCCAATGAATTACACTTTTTTTTCAACAAAGGGATTCCTGTATGACACATTCTAACAAAGGCCAAAGAATTACTTGAGACCAACTGCTTCATTTCACAGTGATCTCTTGATAAAGGAATGTTAAATATTGGATGAATACACTATTCATTTTTATAGAAAAAAAAAAACCTTAACACTTGGGTTTGTATCAAATGTGTATTTTTTAATGCATTTTATGTGCCTGTAATTTTTGCTTAATTTAGAAAATTGTAGTTGTCTAAACAAGTCATTTAAAAAAAACAAAAAACATTGTAAGCAATTTGTAAACATTTGCAAGATTTGTTTCGAGAAAGTATCTTTTAAACTTTACAAAGCACTACTACAGTCAGTATTATTAATTAAAGTGGAAGTATGGTGGGGATTCTGAAATAAGGCCAAAGCAGGCCTACAAACTGTGTTGGTAATTCAAAATGAAATACATCTTTGTTGAATAACCCTTAATTAGTTAATATTGTCACTGCTTTCTGAAATGACATATATATTTACAGAGTTTATAATTCTATATGTATTAAACAAAGAAAAGGAAAACAAACCAAAAAAAAAATCACAAAACGTCTTTGTGTTCCACCGCCACCCTTTGATTGTCAGAGAGTGATCAATACACTTTTTACAGTCAAAGGGTCAGTAGGTAGGTAGTATATTGCATCTGACTTTAAATACTGTTCCATTATGATCCATTAGATTCTATTAAATCTTCCCCCAGACAGATAAGCAACAATGTGCTCTACATCCAACTCGGGCTGCAAAATAATGAACATGGATCAATGAAAATGAATTTTAGAGTCACCTCTGTGTGAAATGATTGTGGTTAGGCTTATATGCTGATCTGTGCACTAAATCAAATGTGATTTTCTGATGTCAAGGCCCGGTTTACATCCCACTTGCCCATAGGCACAAATACAGCACCCTGTCCGCTAGCACTGTAAGAAGAAAAAATTTAGTGTATGTATGTATGTATGTATGAGAGGTTCTGGAAAAAGTGGGCACGCTACCTAATAATAATAATAACAAAGTATTTAACCAGGAAAGGTACATTCAGATCACTGTGGTTTTCAAGTATGTCCTGGGGATGTTACCTTAGCGCAACATCCAGGGGTTGTTAGTTACTATTACCCAATTTACATAAAAACTGTTATTTGACCTGAACCAACTTGCCGTCCATGGCACCCCTAAAGAAACGGAGAAAAAGAACCCCCTTTATGAGATGTGGGAAAACGAGGGGGAGCCCTGTTGTAAACCCTTTTTGATTATGTATCGTCATGGTATGTTTCTGTATATTACATTCTATGTGTTAATATGTCAAAGTATTGGAAGCAAGCTTTCATCCCCTCTTGCTTTATACAAGTTGTAAAACTCATGCATGTCCTATTGACACAGGACGAACAAAATTCTCAAATGAAAATATAATAAAGAAAAAAGAAAACTGATAGCCAAACTGAGAACTGAAATTTTCTTTATCAGCTATTGCCCTAAATATTGAAAATAACTGAATTTTCAACTAGCTATCTTTATCTCCTAAGAAGTGGAATAAAATTAGGACTAACCCACAGAATACGGGACAGTTGGCAACTATGTTTTACAAATTCATATGCAAAAATATTCATATATCTCTGATCAGTGAAAGCAAGTAGGAAAGGAATTCATTTTTATGGATGAGGCTTTACATAAACAAATGTGTATCACTAATTTTCTTATATAATTTAAATCAATTTGCAGACTTTCGTGTTTTTGTGATTTCATTTTCTATCCAGTTATGCCAGGGCAAGGCTAGTGGCTAATTGCCAACGGTGTGTACCATAACACTCCCCCAATGCTCTTGCAGGCTTTAGCTGATGAATTTTAGCACGAAACAATATATGCAGCCGCACATACTTTAATTGTACATCAATACTGGTTTCATGCCTTTTCAGACCAACTCTGGGATTGATTTATATTCCTAGCTTGAATCTTCACTCAGTAACACAGCTATGGGTACTATATAACTGATGGTGCTTTTTACTGAATGACAAACACCTGTGTCTTATGGATTTTACAGGACCCCCAACCCTTAAAGTCAGTAGTTTCCAGGAAATTAAACGATTCTCCCCTTCCCCCTCCCACTTTGATTCACCCTAGAGGGCAGCCATATGTCTAAACTGCACAAAGCTATACTGTCTGGCTCCTATACCAGGGATTACTGGAATCTTTGTCAGAGTAAATCTTTGTCATTCTCAAATTTCCTGTTTCACAATGATGTTCTGGGACTGATTCAAAATAGCTTTTAGTGCATGTATCCATTGATGACTATTAGAATCTGACTATTTACTGAAATTATTCTTTAGAACATTGTAGTGTCTTGGGATTTTGAACATGATCCAAGACAGTGAAGCCAGTGTCCAGCGGCAGGAAGTCCAGGGACTCTGATGGCATAGTTGAGGTCCTAGACAGAGCCCAGCAAGATATTAATAGAAAGAAGATGGTTTCATTGTGTTAATTTGTTTTTAGGGACCACCTTAGTATCCCCAGCCAAATATACTATCTGTTCAGGATAACAAGGTATAAATGACACATAGTGCAGTCACTGCTTGCCAAAGGATCGTATTTCCTTTAGATGTATATGGAACGCAAATCAATATTTCTGATTTACCATGGGAAACAGTGAGAAACTTCTGGCCCAGCTAATATTTCTGAAAAATGGCCTGTAAATTGCATGTTAGCAACTCCTTGGTATCGAACTCTACATGCTGTGTGTTATGAGATTTGTAGCCCACTGCAATGTCCAGGACATTGTTTGCACATTATGACATCATTAACTGAGAATATAGTGGAGCGTTCATATAATAAATCAATGTTGTTCAAAAACATTAGCTATTTTTTCCATAGCAGAGTTATTTGTTAAAGTGTGAATAAAATTTAAAATGAAATTCAAATTACTAGGCTAATTTTGGGCTATACTGGCTAGATGCAGTGTTTTCCATATTGATGAATTCAATACAACATATCTCCCTCAGAAAATAACTTGCTGTCTCTAGGACAATTCAAGATTTTGAAGTCTTAAAGGACCACTATAGGCACCCAGACCACTTCAGCTTAATGAGGTGGTCTGGGTGCCTGGTCCATCTAGGGTTAACCCTTTTTTCTATAAACATAGCAGTTTCAGAGAAACTGCTATGTTTATGTTAGGGTTAATCCAGCCTCCAGTGGCTGTCTCATTGACAGCCGCTAGAGGGCTTCCGCGTTTCTCTCTGTGCAAATCACAGTGAGAAGACGCCAGCGTCCATAGGAAAGCATTGTGAATGCTTTCCTATGGACTGGCTGAATGCGCGCGCAGCTCCTGCCATGCATGTGCATTCAGCAGAAGAGGAGGAGAAGAGGGAGTTGAGGAGGAGGAGAGCTCCCTGCCCAGCGCTGAGAAAGAGGTAAGTTTAACCCCTTACTCTCCATCCAGCCTAAAGGGGGGGGGGCCCTGAGGGTGGGGGCACCCTCAGGGCACTATAGTGCCAGGAAAACGAGTATGTTTTCCTGGCACTATAGTGGTCCTTTAACTCTTAGTAGTTTCTTTGTACAGGTATGTACATGACAAATTTGTCAAAAATTTTTTTGCCAAGGACGATCCTGTGGCATTACCATGGTTTAACTAGCAAAGTAAATTATGTTTATTTACATCAATGTATTTGTAAATTAGGCTTTTACATTTAAAAAGGAGACTTTGCTACTTAATTGAAAGCATAATATTTCAGTTACATCATACTCTGCTAAATGATCAGCTAGCACATTCATGAGACACGTTCATAAACACAAAGTCAAGGCCAAGTTCCAAATTTTAAATAGTCGATAAAAACATTCCATTGGTTCCATGGTGACGGCTCAATATTTAGAACTTTGCAGCACAACTGCTCTTTACAAATCAATCCTGGTACTGTATATATTTAATCTTCTGCAAAGTGTACGGGAACATCTCAAGTGCCCACATCTGAACAAATGCCTCGCAATATGTTGGTAGGTGCTTGATCTTATGACAATAGAATGAACAACCAAGGGTGTTTTCAGGAGCCTAAAGTGGGATATTCTTGACTGGTCAATCACCAGACATGAATCCGATTGAGTGTGTGCTTTACTAACTGGAGACAAGACTGAAGTATAAACAAGTGCCCAAAATAATAGTGAAGATGGCTGCAAGACCATCCGTAGGTGACACACTTCAAGGAGTCATTGGATGAAAGTAATCCAGGCTTTTCATCTTCATTACTTTGGACTAACATTTGCAATTTATTGGTTGGTGTTCAACAATTTCAGTTACTTTGTAATTGTTTTATGGCGGTAAATACCTGAAGTATTAAAGCTGATAAACTGTTTTTCATTATCTTTGTCATTGTTTCATTCCAATTCTAGTACCAGTTTACATTCAGCCTCGAATCAATGACTTCTTTCATAATTTTGGGATGTTTTAAAGGGGTACTCCAAGCACTCAAACCACAACTGCTTCAACGACCCCCTGGGCTTGTGTTCAATATTCTTCCACTTTCACTCACCTGAAGGACTGTTTGTGAAGGTCTAAAAATAGAGCTCCTTTTCTGAGCAGCTAGTATTATTATTTATATAGCGCCAGCAAATTCCGTAGCGCTGTACAATGGGATGGAATAAGGGAGGATCTTGCAATCCTTCTCACCCACACATTGTATGTGAGGGGTTAAAATATGATTATATAAGTCAAACAGACCATGTGTCCACCAAGAGAAAGGCTCAGACTAATTCTGAAACATTCAGAGGAATTCATAATTCCTTGGCATTACAAAAAGGCTAAATCTTTTACTTGGCATGACAATAACGTCACAAAAACAATAAACCTTGGGGATGCAATATGCCCTTAAATCACCGGGGATTGTCAAATCGCCTTCTAGTTTTGGATTGGTTGTGATCAGTAGTCCATTGGACTCCCATTAATGTATTTTAACCTACCCCTTGCACATTGGGTGACAGTAAAGGTTGGTCAATTGGGCACCACAATTCACTGAATATTGAAGAGACCCATGAATAAGAGAAACATTGCAAACCTTTTCACAGATAAAAAAAATATATTAATTTTTTGAAAAAGAAAGAGTAAAAGATCTCAAACGTCTCGAATGTTCCATAAGGAGGGCATTATTTCAAATGTCCTTATTTTTCTTTCTTTTTGCTTAAAATAGGCACCAGGACATCCTTGAATTTTTTAGGTACAAGCAACATCCTCAGTTGCACAAACCACAGATAAGTTCTGTAACCCAGAGTGCACACACTGTTATCTACACCTACACACACAATTTACTGTTATGCATCATCTGCATATGTCAAGTAGGAGATATATACAAACACAAACGGTATATACATTCATATTTAATAGACCTTCAGGAATGTAAGAGGTTACTAAGCAAATCACAGCATGTTGGAAGGTGAAATATGAGCCAAACGTTGAGTAGCAGATGTATGTTTAGTCAAGACAAGTTTTCTGCGGTTTGCAGAGACACGATTAATTCATTTAGGACCCAGAGACGAAATGTACAGAGCAATTCTGTTCGTCATGCTTCAATGGGGATGTGTGTGGGCCTCAAATGATTTTTAGCTCTGTGGCAATCAAGGCATGAAATGATTTTAAAGACTTCTAGTTACCCCTGTAAATGAAATTGGTCAAAAGGTGCTGGTTCAGCCTTCTTTGTTGGTTGTTTTCATTGTGTTTATAGCAAGTCAAAGCAGAACTGTCATTTTATAAAGTTTATAAATTGTTTAGGTTATAAAATCATACTCAAAGAACTATTGACTAGTATCACAGGGGCCACCATCAGATACAGCTTTGTTGTTGATCTAAAACTGAAGGTTTATTCGCTAAAATTTTAATTGTTGGAAATTGGAAATTCATTTTTAAAAATGTGGGACAAACCGAAAACATAACTGACTGGGAGAATTTTTACATTTGAGCTACTATTGGGGAAAAAAAAATCCATTTGAATTTCTGATAATTTTACACTACGGTGCAAAACCCTGACAGTTTATCAAGTGCATGTCTCAAGACTGAGACATTATTATCTTCAAATTGTTGTAGAGATTGTATAAGAAAGAAGAAGCAATTTCAACAAATTAGTTACTTTTGTAGACAGTGACCCCTGTTTTAAAAAAATTTCTTTCCAAATACTACACAAAATACTTTATAGATGGAGTTAAAATTTTACGTATAATGTGTATGGCAAAGCAAGGACAGCTGAGCTTGGTATGGTCGTAGGGGGGCTGTGACATGGTGGGGGGCTGTAACAGGTGGGGGGACTGTGAAAGGGTGGGAGGGCTGTGAAAGGGTGAGGGGGCTGGGTGGTAGGCTGTGAGAGGGTGAGGGGCTGTAACAGGGAAGGGGGGCCTGGATGGGCTGTGACAGGCTGGGGCTGGAAAAGAGGGCTGTGAAAGGGGATAGGGGGAGGCCCTGTGGCAGGGCTGTGGGGTGTGGGGGCTGTGAAAGGGGATAGGGGGGCTTGAGGCGCTGTGACAGGGTGTGGGTGGAGTGGAGGGGCTGTGACAGGATGTAGAGGGGGTTAGATGGCTGTGACAGGGTATAGAAGGGGTGGAGGGGCTGTGACAGGGTGTAGAGGGGCTGTGACAGGGGCAAGTGGGTGGAGGGGGTGTGACAGGGTAGGGGGTGGAGGGTCTGTAACAGGATGTAGAGTGTGGTTAAATGGCTGTGACAGGGGTAAGTGGGGTAGAGGTCTGTGACAGGGGTAAGTGGGGTTAAATGGCTGTGACAGAGGGAAGTGGGGTGGAGGGGCTGTGACAGGGGTAAGTGGGGTGGAGGGCTGTGACTTGAGTAAGTGGGGTGGAGGGCTGTGATGGGGTAAGTGGGGTGGAGGGCTGTGACTTGGGTAAGTGGGGTAGAGGGTCTGTGAGTGGGGTGGAGGGCTGTGACAGGGGTAAATGGGGCGAAGGGCTGTGACAGGGTAGGGGTACCGTTTTTTTTTCTTCTTCACCGATTCCCTGGTAGTCCGTTGGTCTCCCTATCTGGTCTGCAGCTCTGCTAAGTGTGAGCTTCAGACCACGTGGCAAGTCTCACAATCTCTAGCCAGTCAGAGAGTTGCCGTGGTAACCCGTGAGAACGCTCTGACAGGCTGGAGATCGCGAGACACCTCAGTCTGCAGCTCACACCTGGTGGAGCTGCAGACAGGAGGGTGTGAAGGCGTTCTCCTCCCAGGGCAGACTGACTGGAGGGGCCTCGCACCCAGCAGCATAATGGGCAAGCCGCCGGGCCCCCTCCTGTGTCAGGCCCTCGGTCATAGACTGAAGACCCGACATGTGAGTCTGCCCTAAGGAGATTTAGGCGGCCGCAAGGCCACTGACAGCGCAAGGCCTTAGGCAGCCGCCTAAATTGTATAATTAGTGAGCCACCTCTGCTTTGGGTCATACAATACATAAATAGGGGTGGAGACAGAAAATGCCTAGTGTTTAAAGGCAGCCTATGGCCTCTTCTAATTAGTTATGTAACCTCCATTCCACAGTCCGTGGGGTAAATGAAAGCACAAGGGTTCATTTCCCTGTTCATTTTTAGCCCATACCTCACCACACCAAGGGTAGAGATATCATTGAAATGCTTTGAGTCCAGCGGCTAGTTTAAGATGCAGGGAAATACCTCAGTAATTTTTCGTTACCCCATATGTGGCCATTTGTTGATTTTATGAACTTGATAAAGCTTGATTTTTTTTCAATCAACTTTTATATTTGCCCTGGAACAGGAGGCCATAGATGGGTAATTTTTTATGTGAACAGAGCTTGGTATTAACAGGAAGTTATTAAGAGTTAAAAGTGATATAGTTCAGTTTATCATTTTGCATTTTACAGAGTGAATGGTATTGTTCCAGGTATTATGTACCCAGGACATACTTGAAAAACGAGAGAAATGTCAATGTATCCATCCTGGTAAAATATTTTATAAATAAATAAAAATGCGCCAGAAGCAATTCAGAGCAAAAATCTAATGCAATGCACTGCATTTCCCAGCAGGTGTCAGTATATTTCTAAATATAAAGTGGGTAGTTCTGTTCATACAAATAGCAATGACAAAGAAAAGTCATATATAAATCAATATGCTGGATCATTCCACCGATATCAATATTGATGTTCCAATTTTCTATTACATTTATTCACTAACCAAAGTGTGCATTATCAAGAATTCAATGTAAATCCAAAGTGAATTTTAATTTATTGGCCAGAAAGGCTAAATTGAAGACATATTTGGACTGTATGCTTTCGTTTGATGACTAGAAATTTAATAAAAAGGTGAACTGCAAAAGAAAATATGGATTTGGATATCATTGTAGTACAATGCTCAAAATCAACGTTTAAAACTTATCAAACTGCATTAAAAGAGATTAAGTGCAGAACGCCATTATGTTTCTAAACCTGTTCTAAAAAGAAATCGATAATATTCATTCATTTTGATATTAATTCATTTTAAAGTTGTTTTAAAACCGCAAATAACCGTTTTAGTCTTTTCAGTTTGTTTGACATGTCCTCTATAAGACTTACAGAGAGGTAGCTGAATATACAGTATTTAGTTATTACTCAATATGACACGTTTCTTTATAATTACATGAATGCAACTATATAAATATAGGGTGTGAAAGTGTATTAATATCATATGATTAAAGGGACATTATAAACACCAGACACGGTGTAGTGGGATCATCACTCCGAAAACAAAATTTACAGCTTCTATCAGCGAGACAAACACCCAAAACAACTTAAATGGCCACTGTCATGTCATACTTACCTTTTCTAAATAGTTCCCTCTTCTTCCTCTTTTTCTAAATCAGTTTTTTTTTTTCACCCCTATTACATAAGACAAGCAGGACTTTGTCTTCTGTAGTTTTCCTAAGCTTAACAACGGGTGAAGTTTCAAGGGATTCTATAGTGCTAGGGAAACAAAGCCGTTTTCCTGGCACTATATAGGTTCCTCCCCTCAGTGCTCCCCTCCCATGGCGCTGAAGGGGTTAAAACCCCTTCAGTCACTTACCTGAATCCAGCGTCGATGTCCCTCGGAGCTGGGTCAGATCCGCCCATGCTCCTCCCCCACCCAATCCGTGCTCTCATTAGGATTTCCCGATGGGAAAGTATTAAACAATTCTTTCCTACGGGGATTCCGGTGATGCTGCAAGTCCTCATGCATGGCGTGAGGACATCCAGCATCATTTAGACAACCAAAAGTAGTCTACGAGCTCGGTAGACAGCCACCAGAGGAGGACTTAATCCTTTTAAGAAACTACAATAATTACCTTTCAGGGTTAAGAGACCTGCAGGGTTAAGAAACCTGGGACAGTGCACCCAGACCACTTCAGTGAACCTTATG